CTAATTTCTTAGGAAATCTATGGTTTAAAGTGCGTATCAATTAACTACTTAATGAAGCAATTTTGATTATTGCTAATCTTTGATATTTTTTGTGTTTTTCTTTTCTCATAAGTTATGAAGTTAAATATTTACACAATGAACATGTGGAAGGTGATAGTAAAATCTACATACGGACAATTTACATATTATCCTGTTGCTTAAAAATATTAATTATTTTTCATATACCTTCTCTAGAAAATCTTGAATTACCCAAAAAAAAAAGTAACTCATGAATATAAAACATAAATTTAAAGAACTTCAAGCATAAAAAAAATAGTTTCGACAATTCATAATTTAAAGAAAAAAAGATGAAATATGATTATTACTCGAATGATTGTTTCGTTTCTCAAAAAATATCTTTTCTATTCTTAGACCAAGACTACATCGTTTTATCTATTATACAGTAACAAAGCTGGATTTTTAATTACTTCTTTTATCAGCAATGCTAAACAATCAATTACCAATTTTCTTTGACAACTACAATTCTAACGTGACCAACACCCAAATATAGAACAATAAAATAAAAAAATTCTGCAAAGATGATTAGCCATGTCGTTAAAATTGGCTTTATTTTGACGATTAATCGTGATCCATAGGTAACTATTTTGACAGATTCGAATAATCGACGATTTTCAAACAAACTTCAACAGTAAGTATTTATAAAATAAATCTCAACATCACTATGAACAGTAGATATTTGATGATAAAAATGACATATTTTTTCTTTTATGTAGATCGATCTTAAGACCAAGATGAACAGTAAGTACTATTGTGTAACAACAACTGTTGTTAATCATTATTTACGAGACATAGAGAGGATAAAACTATTTCTCTCCTCATTCATGGGAAACTTTTATCGCACACTGACAGTTCCGCACGCGACATTTCCGCATTGACACTTCCGTACCGGACACTTCTGCACAGCGACATTTCCGTACAAAATGAAGTATTTTTTATTTTTTCTGTGTTAAGTCAATACATCTTCTAAATTTTCATTAACTATTCTGTTGGTGTGGCTACAGGGTTTCGGTGTGCGTGCTGAAATGGAATGAAGGAAATGGAAACTCTACTGCCCACAGTTATACTCCAACGCTCAAATCCACTCTAGAAACCATACCCGAATACCAGATCCCCATCAGAAACCACAACCACATACCAAAAATCACACTCTGCAACCCATTCCACACCTAAAATGTATTAACTTAACACAGAAAAAACAAAGAACTTCATGTTGTGCGGAAATGGCGCGCACGGAACTATTGTGTCACGATTTTTATGAGTACGATGATAAAAGATGGTCGTATATCCGTCAAGAGCCAGTCATAGTGCTAGAACTGACCATTACGACTAGGTCCGATCATCGTAAATATAGCAAGGAAAATCGTATTTTTCTGTAAGAATCAGAAAAAAGTCAAGAAAAGCCATTTTATAAGTGATTTCACTGTGATATAATTTCACGATAAATCGCTGTAAAAATCGCCATAAAATCGAAGATTTCTACACGATTTTGATCACATACGTAATGAAAACAAGTCAATTAAAAATATCTTCATTTGTTTTTCTCAACTGTTTTATAGAATGATGAGTTACTAAAAGATTGATACAGACAAATGGCAATCATTTCAACAATAATCATATTGCTAATATGATTTTTTATCAATGTTCTTTTTAAATATTTCCATGTTACAAGACGTTGTAAATTGAACAAAAGGACAATTAAAAGTTATTTAGTTTTCTTGAGTAAGTGGATCATGTGATAAGTTATTTTCATAAAAAAATGCAAAAAAAAGAATTCTTTAAACGTACATATAGTTTTTTTTTATCAAAATAAAACACATGAATAAAAGATAACTAGTATTAACAATAGGTGTTTTCACTATCAAAGATAGACATGTTCACATCAAAGCTAAGTTTATATGCAATTATAATGCTGTTAATTGAAAGAGTGAGCAAATGAAAATATGAATAACCTTATCAAAATGGAAACAAATCTGGAAAAAAATTACATCTACAGTAATACTTTACAAATCTGAGTATTGACTATCAAAGACTGAGAAACACGAAAAAAA